TGTAAGGGGCCCAATGTTTCAGTTTGCTAACATAAAATAATTGCAATTGATCAAGCTTTCCATCCAACTATGAAGGTGTAAGCATCGGTTTATCCAGTGTACCTAAGCAGTACTTAGGAAGTACTATAGACTGCAGTTTCGCTTCTCTCATTAGTAGTACGTGGACGGGAACGATCGCATTGAAGCGATGTGTTAACGTGGATCAAGTCAGCTCCGATTTGGGTAGAAAGGAATAATCAATTGAGATTTGTGCAGACATTGTTCTCAAAAATAGCCATTATGTTTTTGGACCCAGTAGCTTCAAATGAGGACACATTAGACAAGTATTCAGCGACAATTAAAGCCAATTACGCAACCCACTGTCACAGATTAGTCGGGGTTATATCGTGCGAAGGCTGACTGAGAGTGAAATGATCAGCTACCCAATGGGCCAGTGTATAGCGTGCTTGTTTTCCAACAGTGTGATCCCGGGTTCGCGATCCCCAGTTAGGTTTATCACGGATGACCCCTAACCAGGTCGAAAAAGCTGTACAGTGGTTCTTAGCTTTTCAGCTCACACTTCATTTGCTATATACAAGGAGAACGTCCTCTTTCAAATTGAATCAAATCTTCCACCAGCCTCATGTTACAAGTCTGCCGGTTGTGAAAGTTTTCAAGCAGTCATAACCAAGGAGGTTAGTGCTGAGATAAATGAGGTGCAATGCTCACAACAAGGTCGCAAAGATGGGTTGTTCTATGTCATATGAATAAAAACATGAAGAACCGTCTGATCATCTCCCCCGGAGTGGCCGAGTGAATAGCATGCTTGCATAAGGATTTCGAGGTCCCGGATTCAATTCTCAGGTCGACAGACTCGAACTGCACGGATGAGATCCATCTAGGTCGAAACAGCTGTTTAGCGCTTCCTAGCTTTTCAACTCCTAGTTTTTAATACGCGACGACTCCATCACAGAATCCATATCCAATTCTCGACCGAAGGTTCACGCATCGCTCTTTGAAACAGTTCGTGGTTGACAAAAGGGTTTCCAATAAGAGCACAGCATGTAGCATTTTGGGCTACAAACAAAGCCTGTCACAAAATTAATTCCTGTTACTTTGCTTTTTTTAATTTCATTTACGTCTGATGCCGGACTGTGTGTCAAATAAATTATGATACAATAAGCTTTATAAAAAGAAAAGCGTTACATGATTTACATGTGGGCTGGATACTGCCAGGTTGCCCAGACCAAGGCAGGTGAATTTTCTTGAGGAATCCACAACCAGAGCCTTCGGTTAGCCAAAGCCTGACTCGCAAGGCAGAGGGGAGGAGGCGTGAAAACCACAATCCATTGGGAGCCGGTGTCCAGTTCATCGGATCATACACCCTTTGGACGGAGTCCAACGTCTAAGGTGCCCGCCTAATCGAGCCGGTGACCACTGCCACAACCAGGAAGTGGTGTGTGTGGTTCGTACACCTCCTCTTGGTTGGTTTGGAATCAGGGATTTTGGCGAACTCTCCTAGGTGAAATGTCAGTGGTCCGCCAACCCGGTTATAGTCCCGGATGTCGGTTTTTCGTCCTCCCATTGTGGTTGGAAAACACCTCCGCCGTAGAGGTGGTGTTACTCCATACGTGTGTGNGTGTGATCCTCTAGATGAATTCAGACAGACAGACAGAGGTTTTACAGGCAAATTGTCGGTTAATGTTCGCAGTTCATGTTCTAGCCCTTCTGGTACACACACAAACACACGTACTTGATGCAGCCGGTAAATCAAATCTTGTACTAGCCCACCTGTTCACTGTTCGAGACCGAAGCCCTGAAAGCGTTGACACCATTTCTTACCGGTATTTTTGTGGTGATATCAATGACCA